TTTGGCCGTTGGCCCCATACTGCTACAAGAATTCGGTGAAGGCCTACTACCCATTGCCTACGAGTCATGGAAGCTGAACTAGGCCGAGCAAAATTATCATGTCCACGACAAGGAGTTACTTGCCATAGTTTACACTTTCAAGGTTTGGCGCTGCTACAAGACGAGCGCTGACGTGACAGTCCGAACAGTCCACAAGTCGCTACAGCTCATCCGCGCTCAACCGACACTGAATCCCCGACAGATTCGCTGGCTCGACTACCTCGAGTCAAACTTCCATTACAGAGTCACCTATGAACAAAGGGTTAGCAACATTGCTAACGCACTGACCCGCCCCTCGGTCCACACCGACGCCATCCTAATTACCCGAACTAATCCGCTCCTAACTGGCATATCTACCCGCAAATACAGTACTGACCCATTCTTCGCCACTAACAGTCATCCCCAACTGACAGTCAGGCAAGGGGCCTATGATCCAATACCAATCGGATTTGGGTTCCCGCCTACCGTACCCTACGGGAATTACTTATCGAGGAGGTACATGACTTGAATTTCTCGGGTCACTAAGTCATCGACAAAACCGCCAAAATACTGTTTCGTAATTAGTAATGGCCCGACCTACCGACAGACGTGCAACTATATGTCACCTCGTGTACCACATGTCAACGCATGAAGTCCTCTCGGCTTCGACCTACTGGATTGCTACAGTTGCTCGAGCCACCCAGTCGACCCTGACAACAAGTGACGATCGATTTTGTCACTGGCCTGCCAACCGGTCTAAGCGGTAACGACGCGATCCGTGTCGTCAACCAGTTGACCAACGTGGCCCATTTCATCACCTGTAAGTCGACAATTACTGCCGAGCTGACAGCGAAACTATGTTAAATTATATATTTTGTTACATAATTGGTAGGCTTGGTAGGTGTTACTGAAACCTACTGTAGAGGGTACAACCCCTTTCCTTGTATCCCTCTTTCTTCTATTCTCGACCCCCTTTTTCTCTCCTCAACTTTCCTAGCCTAAAACCTCTCGCCATTTCATGGCTTCCTACCGTTCCTAGCTACCTTGGTTTAACATGGTTTCAGAGCAGGCCCCTTTCGCTCGGGCCTTCTCCTCACGCTTCCGCAGCGTACTCCCCCCCCGTCACGCCGCGCTGGCCCTGTCATGCCGCGCTGGCCCCGTCACTCCGCGCTGGCCCCGTCACGCCGCGCTGGCCCCATCACGCCGCGCCGGCCCCGTCACGCCGCGCCGGCCCCGTCACGCCGCGCCGGCCCCGTCACGCCGCGCCGGCCCCGTCACTCCGCGACGGCCCCGTCTCTCCGCGACGGCCCCGTCCCTCCGCGCTGGCCCCGTCACCCCGCGCTGGCCCCGTCACTCCGCGCTGGCCCCGTCACGCCGCGCCGGCCCCGTCACGCCGCGCCGGCCCCGTCACGCCGCGCCGGCCCCGTCACGCCGCGCCGGCCCCGTCACGCCGCGCCGGCCCCGTCACTCCGCGCTGGCCCCGTCGCTGGCCCCGTCACTCCGCGCTGGCCCCGTCACGCCGCGCTGGCCCCGTCACGCCGCGCCGACCCCGTCACTCCGCGCCCGCCCCGTCACGTCGCCGTGCCTCAATGCCTCAGTGCCGCCGTGTGCCCGTCCCGCCATGCCGCCATACCACGGTACCGCCGCGCCGCCGTGCCGCTGGGTCGCCGTGCTGCCGCGCTGCCGTGCCGCTAGGTCTCCGTGCTGCCGTGCCGTCGTGCTGCCGTGGCGGCTTCGTCATGCCAGCGCACGGATAGCTGTGGCCAGCGCCCTGTTCTAGGCGCCAATCGTAACGCCCTCATGCCAGTAAGCGTCGCGCCAGCCATGTTGCCTCTCTGAAGATTCGCCTCACCCCCCCCCCCCTCCTTCCCCCTCGCCAAGGAGATTGGCCATGCCGCTGAGAGGGCGGAGGCCGCTGCACTCGCCTCTGACGTTGAAGCCGCCGCCGCCGCCGCTGTTGCCGCTAGCCTGTTGCCATCGCACACCGCCGCCGCTGTTGCCGCTAGCCTGTTGCCATCGCACACCGCCGCCGCCGCCGCTCTCGTCACTGCCGCGACTGCCGCCATTGCCATCTCCCGGGCCGTGGGTGTTGACCGATTCCGGAGTCATCGCAGCTGCTGCTGGGAAAGGGCGGGCTAGGTTAGGGGGTGTGGGTGTGTGTGGGCTTGTTACTACCAAGCCTATGGGGTGTGTTAAATTATATATTTTATTATATAATTGGTAGGCTTGGTAGGTGTTACAGAAACCTACTCTAGAGGGTACAACCCCCCTCCTTGTATCCCTCTCTCTTCTATTCTCGACCGCCTTTTTCTCTCCTCAACTTTCCTAGCCTAAAACCTCTCGCCATTTCATAGCTTCCTACCGTTCCTAGCTACCTTAGTTTAACAAACTATTCCTCACGAGCATCGTGCGGCTACACGGCATCCTCTCGACAATCATTAGTGATCATGACCCACGCTTTACGTTCAACTTCTGGACAAAAACCTGGCAGCAGTACGGCACACGTTTGCATCTGTCCACGGCCTACCACCCGCAATCGGACGGCCAGACAGAGCACACCAATCAGACGAGCAGCTGATTCGCACATACCCGGCCCCATAGAAGGATGCCCTTCCTTTGATGGAGTTTGTGTACAACAACGCCCCATCATCCACGACCACTCTGTCCTCGTTCCTCCTTAATAACTGGATAGATCCAGCAACCCCTCTATTGCCCCCGATAGAAAACCCGACACCAAGTTCTCGGCAGTTCGTCGAAAATATCTGACAGTCTCAGAAAAAAACTGCCGATGCCATCCTAAAAGCCAACCAGAAGGCTAAGCAGCAAGCTGATCGACGACGCCGGGACTTAAAACTTGCCCCTAGGCAAATGGTCTTGCTTGACTCCAAGAATTTGGGAATTCCCCTCCCAAATAAATTACGACCAAGATTTTGCAGACCCTTCCGCATTATTCGAATGGTGACACAAGTAACCGCCCAGCAGACTTGCAAATTCATGATTCGTTCCATGTCAGTCTCCTGCGACAGTTCGTCATGAGTGCGATTAATCTCGACCTCCAATACATCAATCCTACGATCAACCCAGTACCCAAACCCACGACAGAGCCGTCCAAGATTCTCGCTCATCGCGTCCGTGGTCATCGAGATACAACAGCCGTTTATTTCCTCGTACGTTGGGTTGATCGCACGAGTGACGACGAACTCTGGGTTCCCGCAGCTACGCTCGGCAAACACAGAGTTGTTCAAGACTATTTACACCGACGACGTGTCCCAGATGTGGGTAGCCTCGTCCCGGAAGGGGGGTGGTGTAAGGAAATTCCTTTTTTCCTTACTGGGCTCGACTACAGCACGTACGCCCTCGACTGTCGAAATTCCAGGCTCGGCCAACTTCTTCGATCCTGAATGTTAAATTATATATTGTGTTATATAATGGATAGGCTTGGTATGTTATCTAACTCTACTGTAAAGGGTACAATCCCCTCCTTGTATCCCTCTCTCTTTCTAGTTCTCCCCCTTTTCTCTTGTCAACTTCCTCTCCTAACTTTCTCTCCTAGCTCCTAGCTCCTAAACCCTCATGCCATTTCATGGCTTCCTTTCTAACTAGTCATTTCAACATGGTATCGGAGCCGATTCCCTTCCCAGGCCTGCTCCCCACGCTTCCGCCGCGCACTCCTTTTCTCCCTCGCACGCTGCCATGGCGGCCGCGTCGTGCTGCTGTGGCGGCGTCGTCGTGCCGCGGCCGTCTCGACGCGCTGCCTTGGCGTCGCGCCGTCATGGCATCGACGTCCAGCCGTGACGGCGCGGCCGTCGCTGGGCCGCTGACCGCGTCGTGCCGCAGCCGTCTCGACACGTTGCCTGGCGTTGCGCCGTCGTGGCGTCGACGTCCAGCCGTGGCGGCGTCATCGACGTCTAGCCGTTGCGGCTTCGCCGTGCCGCCATGCGTCCGTGCCGCCGTTCCGCCGTCCCGCCAGTAAGCGCCGCGCCATCCATGGCACGTCGCTGAAGACTCGCCCCCCCCCCCCCCCCTTGCGGCTTCCTCTGCGTCCCCTCCTCCTCGCCACAGCCGACGCCTGACTCGTGGGGAACCCCATCGCCGCGGAGGTTGATAATGCCGCCGAGAGGGCGGGGGCCGCTGCAATCGCCTTTGACGCTCAAGCCGCCGGAGCCGCCGCTGTCGCCACTGGCCTGTTGCCGCCGCACGCCGCCGCCGCCGCCGCTGCCGTCACTGTCGCCATTGGGGGTTGGCCCCACCGGAGTAGTCGTGGCTGATGCTTGGAATGGGGGTGATAGGTTAGCGGGTGTGGGTGTGTGTGGGCTTGCCACTACCAAGCCTAGGGGGTGTGTTAAATTATATATTGTGTTATATAATGGGTAGGCTTGGTAGATTATCGAACTCTACTGTAGAGGGCACAATCCCCTTCTTGTATCCCTCTCTCTTTCTAGTTCTCCCCCTTTTCTCTTGTTAACTTCCTCTCCTAACTTTCTCTCCTAGCTCCTAGCTCCTAAACCCTCATTCCATTTCATGGCTTCCTAGCTACCTAATCATTTCAACATTGAACCACCTCGCGAACCCAAACCTCGACGTGTAGCGTTTCTGTAGCTTTCGCCAACCGAACCGCCCCAACTTGTTCACGTGGTTCTCGGCTAGCTCTGTTCGTGCATATAAATGCATAGGCCCTCATTTGTATCGACACTCTTGAATCAAGACTCCTTTATTACACTACCTGTTATTACTCTGATTAATTCATAACAAAAATATAGCTACCAATAGAAAATGCATTCAGTACAGTTTATGAGGTCTGGTTAGGTGTTTCATTTTTGTTGAACGCGCTTGATCGCTTTCGAATTCTCTGCACCGAACTTGAACGTGCGAAAGGCACACCAGGGACAAACCCGTCCACCACGTGCTGCTGATCCAGCTCTCCTTGACTTTCCCGCTTCCCCTATCTCCGCCCCCTCACGATTTCCTGTTCTTTCCCCCTCACCATCTCCCCTACCCTAGGGGCTTAAGGGTCCTCCTTGCTCCTAGCTGCTTGCTCGGCAGCGGCTCTTGCTACCCTTAGACCGCTCGACCAGTCATCTACGACCAGCGAGCGCTTCTGGCCACTGTCTCGGCAGTAGCTATCAGATCCCAGGGTCCTAGACTCGAGGGTTGAAAATCCGGCGCGGCTCCTTGCCCCGTCGCCCGCTGTCGCTGTCACGTTAGCTCTGCTCTCCTGTCTTTCAGACCAGGCTTCAGCGCCGGCATTAGTAGCCCCGAACGCCCGTTAAATAGGTGCGCCTACCGGGCGTCCTGCGTTCTACACCCATTCACCCTCACGCCCGTCGTATCCAGATCTCTCTTGCGCATCGTGAATCCGCCATGCTTCGAACGATCGGCGCCTCGTCGGCCGTGCTTCGGCGCGGCGTCTCGTCAACCGCCGCTCAATGCGGCGGCTCTAGCGCCGCCTCGCCCTCTCTTCCGATTGCCTCCTCGCCCGCCCATTCCCCCGTCGCCCTCGCCCTCGCCGCTCTCTCTCGAACAGTAGCGTCGCTCCACCCGCCGCCAGTCGCCCCGCAAATCCCGCTTTCCCAAATACCGCAAACTACCTCTCCCGTCCTGGGCCCCCCTTCCCAACAGCAGCAGCGGTCACTCCATTCGCCCGCCTCCCCTCTTTCCGCCTCCTCCTTCCGCCTCCCCCTCTCCGCCCTCCACTCCGCCTCCCGCGCGCCCTTCTCCTCCGCCGCCGACTCCTCCGATCCCGCGGAGCAGCGCAGCCCGCCAACAGATCGCGTGGTACGGCTGGCGGACGAGATTGTAGGGCTGACGTTGCTCGAGGTCTCAGATCTAACGGCTCTGATCCGCAAGAAGCTCGGCATGGAAGATGCGCCCATGGGCGGCATGCCCATGGGCATGATGATGATGCCCGGCGCCGCCATGGCCGGCGGTGGCGGCGGGGGGGAAGCAGCAGCAGCAGCTGCGGAGGAGAAGACGGCGTTCGACGTGAAGCTGGAGGGATTCGAGGCGGCGGCGAAGCTGAAGGTGATCAAGGAGGTGCGCGGCATTGCGGGGCTGGGGCTGAAGGAGGCCAAGGAGTTCGTCGAGAAGGCGCCCGTCGTCGTCAAGGCTGGCGTCTCCAAGGAGGAGGCCGCCGCCATCGTCGAAAAACTCAAAGCCGTCGGCGCCACGGTGGTCGTTGAGTGAGGGTGGTGAGAGAGAAAGGTGTGGCGCGGGGGGAGAAAGGAAAAGAGGAGGGGGGGGGGGAGGGAAGGGAGACAGGTGGGGGGGAGGATTCGGGGAGAAGGATTTGGGGGCTGGAGGGAGGAAAGTAGAAGGGAAGGGAAAGGGAGGGAGGAGGAGGAGGAGGTGATGGGAATGGTGGAGAAAGAACACCAAAGTAATGGAGGCAGGAGTGGGAGGGAGTCTGCACCTTGTGGAGTTGTGCTGCAGATTAGTGGTGATGGAGGAGACTGGTTCACGCCTCCAACTGCAGCTGTGGGCCTGCCGGTGTAGTTAAGTGAATTAAAGCAAGGAATGACTAGTGACTGATTTGGCTTCATGGGTCTCCTGTGATGTCTCTTCCTCCGTTTTGTTCCCCTCCTGTCCCTTACCCCCGCAGCCTCTCTCTGCTCTGTTTCTCCTTTCCTCAACTCCATGCTCCTCTTTCCTCTGTTGCTCTTTGCTTCCCCTTTGACCTGTTGCCTCCCTTTCTTTACTCTTCTCAACGTTGCCTGCCCTCCTTGCATGCCTTTCACTCCTAAGCCTAGACAAGTCACTCTCATGCCTGTTCTTCCCCTCGGCATTATCTTCTTTGGTCCTTAATGCCTGGCCATTGTCTGCCGTCCGCTGTCTCTTCTCCTACTCCAGATTCTAGCCTGTCCCGCTTGTCTCATACCAATACTGTTCTGTGCTCTGTGATCGCTTGAAGGCGAAAGTTTCTATTTCACTGGGGCTACTGTTGACTGTTGTGCCATTATTGGCTGCCTTCAAATTTGGCTGCCTTAAGTCTGTTCCTAGAGTCTCTACTTGATTGGATATCTGTGAAACAACATTCATTTGTTTACGTTGAGAAGTTGGTTCGAGTTGTCCATATCCTGTCAGACCACACCTGCATACCATCTACGCTGACAAATGTTCGGTAGTAGGTAGTGCTGCATTCATGATTCTGGAAAACAAGAATCAGTCAAAATTATCTCTAGCCCTGCACGAAATCACAGAGATCAACCTTCAAGCACCAGGGAGGACAGAAAAGTGCAAGCTGTAGGAGGAACCATGAAAGTTCATCAGCTAATTGTTCCCCCCCTTGACCGCGTCAGCCACGGCTTCTACCTCTTCACGCATGCGACCAGCAATAGTAGGGGCCTTTACGTCAGTGAGAGCACCTGCTGCGCGTTCTTTTGCATCAGATTCAGCATGTGCTAGTGTCTCATAACCGCCAAGGTTCCTCCAAATCTTCCTGAAGGTTGACTTGATCGTTGAATAGACGCTGCCATCATCCTCGCCTTCCATTCCACTTGAGACTTCATCCCCTGAAAGTCGCTTTCTCGCCATAGGTTCTTCCTCATCCATGTTGACCTGTTCCGGGAATTGCGGCGCCTTCTCTCCGCCTGAAATGAACATGCAAAGCTTTATGTTGCTCTTTGAGGAGTAAACGAAACGCAAGGTTTGAAGCTTACCAGGGTGAACGCTCAATAGTAGTGAAGGATGATCGCCTTGGCCTGCAACAAGATGTCTGCTCGCGTCAGAATAGCATCCATGGACGTTTCTGCTGGATTTGATTGAAAACGCAACGCACCATGGTTACAAGACGAATCAGCTGGTTGACCCACTATATTAGACATCTCAAGATCCAAAAATTAAGAGTCAAGGAATCTATCGACCACGTGTCACTAGCAGTCGAGTGAGGGGCTTGACGCACCACTACTGCTTCAAGTTGACTGGCAGTCGGATTATGCAACAGCCAAGAAGACGACTTCCCTGGGAAATAATAACGTACCAAAACGAAGGGTACACCAGTAGTTGTCAACGGTGAGGTGTTTCTACTACTTGTTCCTCTGCTTCTTGCTTGCTAAGTTATTGCGTCATGGAGACCATGATCCGCCATGCATGCAGCAAGCCTGGCATTTCTGAAATCATTTAGGGAATTCCCCTACTGCGAAATCGAACCGCACCTTTTGACAGAAACCTCCAACTTCCAGCAGCAGTGAGAGGATGACGTGACGTGACGACAGGTTGCATGGACAAGGTGTCTGCGTTTCCGTCGCCTGTGCCTGGTGCTCCGCGAGAAAGTTACTGAGCAATGGGTGTGCGACGTTTCGCCAATGCCTGCTAGTGCTCCAATCTTCAAGGATTGTGATGAGAGCATCGGATTCTGTAACATCATTCTAGCGATGAATTCAGATTCATGCACCCCGACAGGGACTGTTTTCGCGAATGACCTTTACAACCGCGACCTTAGCGAGTTTTCGCGAAGAACTCAATGTGGAGGTGCAGCGCATGCGAAAGAGCGTGATCAGGTTACCTCACTCAGTTTGTATCCCGTAGGGATCCCAAGCGATGAGACTATGCTGCTCTTGTAGGGATTCTGCCGCTCCCTCACTCCCAAGCCAATTCCCCTGATTCCTGAACCTCGATCCAAGCACCACCACCACCACCACCACCACCACTGAAGGACTTATTCACCAGCACCACCATAGCAGCAGGTGACTGTCAGTAGTTGACGGTGACGGTGACGGTGACGGTGACGGTGACAGTGACAGTGACGGTGACTTAAACGGCCACCGGTATTCCCAGCTGCAGTCCACGGGGACGCGGAGCCGTATTTCCGGCGATCGTCGTACCTCGTTCCGCATCTGCCTTCGCGTGGATTTGGCCGTAAGCAGCACCTCTGTAGTCGTACGAGTTCTAGCACCACAGTCGTCCCGATCGTTCTTGAGTCGTTGCTCGAGCAATGTCGCTCTCTCGTCAAGTGCCGAAACGTTAGAGAAGCTGTTATAGCCACGCTTTTTCTTCTTCCACTTCATTTCCGCCTTGTCCCCTTTCGCTTGATTGAACGAACTATTTAGTCTGGGAAATCCGTCGCACGAGACTCTTTGTACGTGCTTGTCGTCGTCATTGCGTTCCGGATGTGAGTGAATCGCCTCCATTATTTTCAGCTCGATCTAAAGCCAGTGAATCGCCTCAGTCGACTCAAAAGGCAGTGACTCGCCTCCGTGATTTTGTTCTGTTAATCAATCAAACGGGATTCAAGTGAGCTCAAGAGGTCCCCGTCCAGTCCTTTGATTCACACGCGTTTCTTCTGACGGGAACGGCCAGGCATTCGGGGGAATAAGCGCTCTTGCTGTGTCCCGTGCAAGCAGTGCTCGGATTAGCCGCCGTGTACCACAATCAGTGATCGCCCTGCTTGAGTGGTTTGAGACGTCTCAAATTTGCAATGCTCGGACTAGCCTCCGTGTACCACACTCGTTGACCACCGTTCTGTGGCGTGTCTGCTATACGGAGCTGGCTTGCATCATGGCGTAGTGTGTGCTGGCTTGCATCATGGCGTAGTGTGTGCTGGCTTGCATCATGGCGTAGTGTGTGCTGGCTTGCATCATGGCGTAGTGTGTGCTGGCTTGCTTCATGGCGTAGTGTGTGCTGGCTTGCATCATGGCGTAGTGTGTGCTGGCTTGCATCATGACGTAGTGTGTGCTGGCTTGCATCATGGCGTAATGCGTGCTGGCTTGCCAAGTACCATGATGATGCAGCGCATCATGGCGTAGTCGTGCCTCATCTCTCAGTCCTTCCTGTCATAAGATGGTTCCTCCTGTAAATCTCATCTGCATCGCATGCGCAAGCCATCAAGTCGTCCCCATCCCCTTCTTGCATTGGCCCACCATATTTCACCTACTTTTACCAAATCTCACCTGCCCTCACCTGCCCTCACCTGCCCTCACCTGCTCTTATGAGGCTCACCTGCTATACCCCAGCCATAGCGCTAGCCACAGCTGCTGCATTGCTTCCCCACTCCAGTGCCAGTCATGGCGCTAGCCAGATTTCACCTACTTCAACCTGCCCTCACCTTATCTCACCTACCCTCACCTGCCCTCACCTGCCCTCATCTGCCCTCACCTACCCTCACCTGCCCTCACCTGCCCTCACCTGCCCTCACCTGGCCTCACCTGCCCTCATCAGGCGCCTCTGCTCCTCTCCAGCCATGGCGCTCGCCTCAGCTGCCACGCTGCTCCGCCGCTCCCGTGTCCCCTCCATCTCCTCTGCTGCTGACGTCATAGGCGCAATGCGCCTTGGAGCCTCTGCTCTGTTGCAGGTAGGCTGGTAGGAGAAGACTTAGGGGGAGAGGAAGGGAGAGGGGGAGGGAGAAAAAGGAGTGGGGGTGTGGAGTTGGAGAGAGGGGGGGGGGGGAGGGAGGGGAAGGGTGGGGGGGGAAACTGGGATTTTGTTGCATTGCAGTGCCGTTGCCTCTTGCTGATCGCTTCTTTTCCTTCGATGTTCAGGCGAGGGGGTTGCAAAGCTGTGGTTTGGTGGTGTCATTCTCCCTATCCCTCGCTGCATAAAATCCACGCCCTTGGTGGTTTTCGACTTGGTAATTCGCTAGAGATGCTCCTTTCACCCGCGTCCCCCCACCACCCCACCACCCCGGGTCCCCCCTCCCCGGGTTCTCACTCACTCCTCTTCGTTCCATGCAGCATCGTGCAGCCTCCAGCAGCAGCAGCAGCAGCAGCAGCCAGCCATCTGCAATAGACCTGTCGTGGCCGGCTACCCTGCAGAAGGCGCGGTCATGGGACGATGGCGTGGCCACCAGCTTCGCCACCTCCTCCCTCGCTGACGTCTTCAAGGTTCGCCACTCAACCCCTCCACTGAACCCCTCCACTCAACCCCTCGTTTGCACTTCTTCTGAGTCGACTCTAAAGCAGCTTTGCCACCTCCTCCCTCTCTGACGTCTTCAAGGTCTGAATCCCTCCGCGCTCGACCATATGAGGAGTTTGTCAGATAGCTGATCTTACTCCCTTCTTCCCCCTCCTTGCTCCACTCTATACTCCCCCGTTTTCCCCATTTCCGCCTTTCACTGCTATAAAATCCTCCCTTATTGCCCAGCTGGATGTCGCAACGTGATGGTGGTTGCCTCTAGGAGCAGGTGTTCTTTCTTGAATTTACTATTCTATTATTTAACAAAGTACCTACAAAGTGTTGGTGGTTACTTCTTTGTAACCAGATATCGCAGCTAAAGATAGAGGTGAAAGCTAAGAACCGCTCATCTCCCTGGCAGAGGAATGTAAGAGCTAAGGCTCTCTAAAGGGGATCAGTTGAAGATCGGTGGGAGACTGGGTGGTTGTTGGGTTCCCGTCTAAGGGAAGAGGTGTGATCCTCAAGATTCTATGGTTAGTTAACAAATCTAAAGCCAGTGCCTCACGATGAGCATGTTTCTCATCTGTCATTCTTCCTTCACTTTCTTACTCTGCTCGTTTCTGGCCATGCCTACCAACCAGGGCCGCAAGGTGGTGATATTCGGTGTTCCCGTAAGTTCTCTCCGCCTCCTCCTTCGCTTCTCGTCAAATTTCCACCTTCACCTTTTCCGTATCTCCTTTCTCTGCTCTTCCCTGGGTTGCATATGTCACTCACCACCTCCAACCCCTGCTGATTCAGATCTCTATTGAGCCCACCTGTCTAGCTGCACTCTTGTTCTTCTTTCAATCGTCTGCTTGTCAACCCTCCCACTTTTTATGTTGTCGACTTAAAAATCCGCCCACCCTTATCGTCGCCGCTTCGTCCTGTTTCCCGAGGGTCCGTTCACTGGGGTGTGTGCTCAAAGGCACGTGCCTGGCTACACCCCCTCTTCTTAATCTGCTCATTTATTGTCAGTCCGCCTGCCGTTTCTGCCGCCCCTTCCCCTTGCTTCCCCAGGGAGCGTTCACAGGCGTGTGCTCCAAGGCGCATGTGCCTGGATACTTGGCAGCGCTGCCTGCACTGAAGGCCAAGGGCGTGGATGCTGTGCTCTGCACCGCAGTCAACGACCCCTACACACTGCACGCCTGGGCGAACCAGCTTCAGGCGCATGACAAGGTCTGTAGTAGCCTTACTTACAGTTGCAGTTGGTTTTCATCTTTCATTCTTCAAGATTCTTTTTCTGCAACAGTCGTCCGCTGCCATGGTTGAAGGTCCCTTTCGCATCACTGCATCTGCAGAGTTGTCTAACTGTTGAGTCTACAATGTTTTGCACTTCCCTCCTGTCTTTTTTGTTTGTCTGTTTTTGTGTTCCTTACGTTCAATTTCTGTCCAGATTGATTTCTATGCTGACTTCGATGGTTCTTTCCATCGCCACCTGGGCCTTCAGTTTGACTGCTCAGGAGCACTTCTGGGAATGCGCTCCAACCGGTATGTAATATGTTTCCAGCAATTTTCGGGTTTCCACCTACTGTGCACTCGCAGTCAGTGGCCACTTATACATAAATGCACCAAAGGTGTGCACCTAGGGCCGCTTATGAATAAAGTCTCAAAAGTGCCAGGGGCATGAAAATCATTTCGGCCCCGGGCGTTTACAACTAACGACATGTAAAATATTTCCATAAGTGGGAACACAGCTTTGTTTTGTCACGTGGACTCGTTGATGGACGCTGCAAAGTTCCCTCTGACGCATCAGCCAGCACTGCCAGGCTGGAGCTACCGCGACGCTTGGAGTTACTGGGTGTCTGGGACCCATAGGGTTGTGTTTACAGTCTCATCCAGATGCTTTGCATGGCATACACTTTTTTTTGCATGCGCATGTCTTTTGCATTCAGGTGGGCTGCAGTTGTGGAGGATGGTGTTTTCAAGTCCCTCAAAATTGAGGAAAATCCAGGGGAGTTGCTGGTCAGCAGGGCTGAGGACATCCTTACCTCCCTTGAGTGAATGATGCAAGTGGTCTGCAGTGCTGGTTACCAGGACATGATTGGATGATTGGTCATGATTCCGTACCGTAGCTTCTGGATCCCGTCTACCTTTTTCAAACTAATCACTAGGTGGGCATTGAATAGGAACACAATGCATCATGGTTTCCAAGGGGAGCTGTGACAGATGCGTGTATTATCCAGCGATGCATCCTGATTAAGAAATGCCTGAAGGGTTCTGGGTTTGTCTGAAGGTTGCAATTTGTCTTTTCTCATCTCATCCATGGCTCGTTAATGTTTATAAGCTTCTTGTATCTTAACAAGAAGGGAATTTATTCTACATGGACAGGCAAAATTTAGAAAGTTGCCAATACATGGACAAGCTTCAAGAAAGCTCGATACATCGGTTCTGGCCATAGCACAGGCAAAAGCTACTGAAGTTCACAAAATAGGCGGTACATCCTATAGTCTACATGTCCCCCCGGAATACACTAACGACCACATTGGAAACAAACTTGCTTAGAAGCACTTCCTGTGCACAATGGATGGGCCAGACTCGTCATACTCGCTCTTCGCAATCCACATCTGCAGTGCCACGACAACGACGATGGTCAGACTTAGTCCACGTACAGAAATGATTAGAGTTGAGACTGGTGCACAATATGCAATTCTTACCTGCTGGAAAGTAGACAGGGACGCGAGAATCGAGCCACCGATCCAGACACTGTACTTGCGCTCAGGAGGAGCAACGACCTTGATCTTCATGGTGCTAGGCGCAAGCTGGGTGATTTCCTTGGTCATACGATCAGCAATGCCAGGGAACATGGTGGTACCACCAGACAGCACAATGTTGCCGTACAGATCCTTTCGGATATCGACATCGCACTTCATGATGCAGTTGTAGCATGTCTCGTGAATGCCAGAAGCTTCCTTACCAACCAGTGAAGGGTTGAACAACACCTCAGGGCACCTGAACCTCTCGGAACCGAGGGTAATCATCTGACCATCCGGAAGCTCGTAGCTCTTCTCGAGGGAAGAGGAGCTTTGAGCAGTCTGCATTTCTTGCTCGAAGTCAATGGCCACATAGGCTAGCTTCTCCTTAATGTCACGGACAATCTCCTTCTCTGCGGAGGTGGTGAAGGAGTACCCTCTCTCCGTCAGAATGGTAACCAGATACTCCGTCAGGTCACGACCAGCAAGATCCAGACGAAGGATGGCGTGGGGGAGCGCATAACCCTCATAAATCGGGACGGTGTGAGACACACCATCACCAGAGTCAAGGACGATACCTGCAGCCGGAAGAGGGGGCTTTAGTTTGTTATCACAAAATCAACGACAAAAGCAGGACGGGACACGAAATTTACCTGTGGTACGACCGGAGGCATAGAGAGACAGCACGGCCTGGATGGCGACGTACATAGCAGGCACGTTGAACGTCTCAAACATGATCTGAGTCATCTTCTCGCGATTAGCCTTGGGATTAAGAGGAGCCTCGGTAAGCAGCACCGGGTGCTCCTCGGGAGCCACACGAAGTTCGTTGTAGAAGGTGTGGTGCCAGATTTTCTCCATATCATCCCAGTTGGTGACGATACCTGGAAAACAAACAGACTGTCAATCTGGAATCTTGATGGCGAAAAGTGAGACGCAGAAAATTCTCAAAGAACTCACCGTGCTCGATAGGGTACTTCAGGGTCAGGATTCCTCTCTTGGACTGGGCCTCATCACCCACATAGGCATCCTTCTGTCCCATTCCAACCATAACTCCTTGGTGACGAGGACGACCAACAATGCTGGGGAACACGGCGCGGGGAGCGTCATCTCCAGCAAATCCAGCCTGCAAGAAGACAGAAGATGTTAGAAATTGCGAGACAATAGCGATCAGGCAATTTCCTCACAAGGAGCGTAGATCGACTCACCTTTACCATACCAGACCCATTGTCGCACACGAGAGCAGAAATCTCCTGATCGTCGGCCATTGTAGTAGATTAAACTGGAAAAGGTATGGATCGCGAAGGAAGATGTGTCAATCTACTAAATCAGTAGAAATTGAAACCAAAAACCTGGAAGTCCGACGTAAGTGGAACTGGAATTCTCGAGCAAGTGCTCACCTAGGGAAATGACAGACGATGTGGGAGGTGTGAGGCTGGGACTGAACTCCAAGTGAGTGAACGAGAGCAAGGACGTCCAGAAAGACTGGTGGGATGGGAGGATAAAAGCGCAGCCCACAAGGAGACGCGACCCCCAATCCACATTGTCGGACCAGCCAGAAATTTCGGCCAACAAACGAGTGCAATCTTTCCACGCCATCCCTCCCTTCAGGCACGTTATCGGAACCATGCCGTACGTGCCTCGGCATCGCACCTTCTCACTGGTTTGGTCCACCAAAACTGCCCCGAAAAAAAGGTTTGTCAACGTAAGCTGCGCCTGAGGCACATCCATGCGCGCTTGGATTGGCTCGGACCCAGCCTTAGTGGTATGGGGGCCCCTTCAAGCCATCCATGCCATCCCTCACCAGCCTAATCCCCGGATCTACGACTGCCACACATCCAGAGCGAATGGAGAACTTCAAGAAGGGTGTGGAGAAAAAGCTTCATTATCACCATGACACGTTAATTTTCAAGTGTACAAGATTGCTGTCATCTCTTAATATAACCAGCCAGAAGTTTCATGAAATTTCAACCCTCCCAAAAGCATTCTAATTATTATAGCCAAAGGCGACAATGAATTAAATTCTAATGAAGTGCAAAGAGCGTGTGTCAAAAGATTGAGTAACAAGAAAAACAACACAATTGAGGCAACATCAAAACAGAAGGACGTATGGATATAGCTAACTTATAGCACACGGTCGTGGCTCGGCAGAGCCGCGACGCGACGTGTGGTTTGTAATTGGCGCGAAGCACCCAGATCCAGGCATCAAACAGCAAGGAGGGTAAAATGCATGCGGCCCTTCAGGAGGCCACATTTGGGTACCGCGATTTGAATTTTGTTGCAGAGCTGCGCAGCAGCCCCATAATAGCAGTGTACGCCTTACTAACTAAAGTCCGTGATAAGGAAACACCATTTCCTTCCACCCTCCCCCTCCAAGGTATGGTCTTAGGGCGAATTTCTACAAACCAGGATCAGAATCAACCTGGATCAGAATCATGCAGTAATATGCGGTGCGAGTGTTTTTATTGCAATTCAGTGCGGTTCATTTTGGTTACGCGCGTTTCTGATTCTCATGCAACTTTGTAGGAATCCGCCCCCTAGCTAAGACCGCCGACGTTGCGTAACTGGAGGTAAACTCGTAATACTGGGTAATTCTTGATCTGTGCCAAGAGCAACCAACAGTTTTCCAGGGCCGTCAGGTCCTTCCAGGGTATCAGAAACTCGATCAGGCCGGCCCCTCGAGGTGTTAGAATAGCAGAATGACTAGAAACAAGAGAGTTCAACAAAGATATAGGGTTGGAGTTGTACCGGTGAAGCCCTGTGGACGGCGCAGGTAGACCTGCTCGTATAGGCTGCCCTAAAGAAAAGCAGTGGAGAAGTCAAGGGAACGGAGCTCGTAGTCACGCTGTGCTGCTACGTGTAGCAGCGACCGAAGAGTAGTCGTCTTCGGGGTCGGGGCGAAGGTTTGAAAGAAATCCACACCATCGCGCTGACTGAAGCCTCTAGCCATGTAGCGCACCTTGAACACCTGCGGCTCTCCAGGGGGGCCCTTCACCTTGAAGAGCCACCGACCATCGACTACGTTCACCCCAGGTGGGGGAACTGCGTCGACGTAGGTGCCGGTGGATCTCCAAGATGCCATCTCCTGCTCCATAACAGCTATCCACTGAGAGGCCCAAGGTCCCAAGGTCGCCTCAGTGTAAGTGAGAGGGGTCGGGATGTCAAAGGCATCTGGGTCACCCTCAGGGACTAGCAGCATGGAAAACAGATGGGTAGCAGCCTCAGACAGGAAAGCAAGATCGTACTACATGTCCTCTAGGACGTCACTGCCAAGGGCAGAAGCACCCCCGACGGACAGAGGCCAGACAGGGTCAGAAACCAGAGCTATGGCGTAGTCAAGGCGGCGGGTAGAGGCGAAGTCAGCGTCAGCAGCGACAAGAGCGTCAAGACTCGAGACAGGAACAGACGGGTCGGTAACGAGGGAGGCAAGGACCCGAGGAACAAGGGGACGAGCGGCACGAAGGTAGTCAGAAAAAGGGGGAGGCGCGGCAGCGAGCGACGACAGAGGAGGAGACGGGAGGAGGGGAGGACGAGACGCATGAGAAAGAAGCAACATAGGGTGACAACGCTAATGAGGAAGACATGACGAGAACGAGAGGGACGACGAGACCAGACTTGAGATGGAGGCGTCTGGTCAGGAGACATAGGAGGAGACACAAGAGGGGAACGAGGGGGAAGACGAGCCGGAGACGAGTCTAGCGGAGGGAACACAGGGCCGTAGACAGGAAGAGGAGGAGGGGCCGGGGGAGGCGCAGGCGAGCGGTTAGGGAAGGGAAGGCCGAGCAGACGAAGGGCGGACACCGGCGACGATTGCTGCTGCTGCTAGTCGACGCCGACACCTGGACCGCCAGCTGCACCATGCCTACCACCGGAACACTCCACTCCAGCACCCCCAGAACGAGCACACCCAGAGCGAGAACTCTCTCCAGCACCGGTGCCAACCACAGGCCCGCCGAGACAAGCCACGACAGGAACCCCAGGACTAGCACCCTCCTCAACGCCAGCACCCCTAGAGTCCGCGGAGGGCTGCGACTGCTGCTGCAGCGGCTGCGACGACGGTTGCGGCTGCAGCGGCAGCTGCGACTGCGACGGCGGAGGAGGAGACACCGGGGGAGAGGCAGGCGGTGAGAACGGCGCAGCAGGGCCACCTGAGTCAGCCGACTTCTCGACCGGGACAACCGACGGGAGGGGAGTGACGTGAGACACACCAGACGGAGTAGTCGGGGAGGGAGGTGAGCAGGGGCTACCAGGGGAGTTGGAAACGGAAAAGGGGTAGGGGAAACCGGGAGAACTCGGTGGGCAAAGCGCTGGTAAAAGGAGACAGACTCGTCGAAGGTGGCGTCACGGGAGTGAAAGAAGCGGTGGGACGGCGGGTGGTAAAAGTGCCAGTCAAACGAGTCAATGGGGAAACCGAGGAAAACATAGGGGACAGTGCGGTCAGTGAGCTTGTCCTTGCCAGAGGCATGAACGTGAGTGAGGCAGCCCCAGACGTGGAACGTGGACGCGTCACTAGGGAACCCGGTCCAAAGAAGGGTCGGCGAAATCTGCGGGCTGGGAGCGCGGCCACAGGTTAAGCTGGTGAGCGGCGTAGCAAACGGTGAACGACCACAGAAAATGGGGTGCACCGGCATGAATCATGGAGGTACGAGCCACCTCCATGACCAAACCGATGCATCGCTCAGCGACCCCATTCTGCTTTGGAGATTCCGGTAGGGTATACAACTGGGTGATGCCCTCCGCATGACAGAACTGTCCAAGCCGACCAGAGGCGAACTCGCCGCCACGGTCGGAGTGGAGACACAGCACAGGGTGACCGCGGTGGAGACGCGCAGCTACGAACCACGGGATAATAACGTCAGTCATGTCGGCCTTCCGCTCCAAGGGAAACACCATGGTGTAGCACGTGTAGTTGTTGACGAGCACAAAAAAGTAGCGCTCGCGACGTGGTCCGGGGACTGGGGCTGGGCCCCAGATGTCCAGGTGCAGGGTCTGGAGGGGAGCGGTGGCAGGGCGAAGCGGGAGTGAGGAGCACGGCCCAGCCGGCCCTCTACGTAGGGCGTGCACGATGGCGCAAGCGAGGTAGGGAAGGTAGGAAGAGACGAAGGGAGACCTAGGACGAGACCGTGCTGAGACATGTGACGCAGACGCGGGAGTGCGGGGTGACCGAGGCGGCGGTGCCATAGAAGCGACGTGTGAGTGAGCGACCGACACGAGCAAGCCGCAGAGACCTGGGTAGACATAGGGCTTGGGGAGGACGCGCCAATCGGGGAGGAAGCACTGTCCAGTGTAAACATGCCAAACACTGGTTCCCGGGGGAACATCGCAAGGGGGGAACCTGAGACGGCCTCGGTACAGACAGGGCACCGCTCGTGACCAGAGAACGTAGTGGTGACGCCGAGGTCCTGAAGACAGCCGACACCAACTAAGTTCCTGGAGAACAAAGGGATGTGCAGGCCTGTAAGGGATTCCGAGGGAACCGCTGGACAGGGAAGGGTAGTGTTGTGTAGCAGCGAGCAACGACATGACCAGAAGAGGGGTCAGCAAGTATGACAGCGGCAGGCGCGGCAAGCGGCGTGAGTGTGGCATGGTCGCGGAAGAAGCAGGCAGACGCGCCAGAGTCAAGTGTGAAGGACAGCAAAGCAGTAGCGGCCGACGAAGGAGGAGCAAGTGTGGAGCCTAGGTTAGACAAAGCAAACGATCCTACGCATGACGCAGCATGGGTGTCTGTACTACACACATGTGCTATGGCTAAGCTAGAGAATACAATGTAATAAGATCCGGACACACTAGAAGCGTCAGCATACAGATAATGCAGGGCTGAACTCATATGATCCATGTGTAACTCAAAAACAGGCACACCGAGGTGCAGCAGACTGGGCTAGTCAGGGAGGTCCGGGGCCGGGCCGAAGCGGCGACGAAAGAGGTCGTCGAGGCGGCGGAAGCAGCGGGCGATCGGGTGCGGGCAGCGGCACACAGTGCCACGCAGGGGCCAGGTCTGGAGCTGGTACTCGCAACTCAGAGCACCGAAGCTGCCGGTAGACACCGAGCTGTGAGGGCCGCCACCGGGGCCACCACCTCCAGAGGCTCCTGGCCACCGCGGCAAAAGGCGGGCCAACGGCTGCTGCTGCTGGTGCTATTGTTGCTGCTGCGGCTGCTGCTGCTCGTGGACACCAGCCCTAACTCCCTCGTCAGAACCACTATCCCCACCACCACCACTACCACTAACAGCGCCACCACCACACCCTCCCTTGGGGCCGCGACGGCGTGACGCGGTCGCTGCTGCGGGAAAACCGCAGCTGCGGTCTCAGCGGCAGGGGCGGCCGTAGTGACCGTAGCGGAAACGTCAGCGTACTTGCACTCGGAGGGAGTAGAACCTTGAAAGATAGGGACTGCCGCAACACCACTCGTGTTACAGGATCGAATGAGGTTTGCTCAATGTTGCACTCTCAATCAGTACAAGGTGCTTTTATACTTCAAGAGTACATCAGGTAA